AAGATGGGAGGCATCTTTGGACAAGATGTCCTTCGCAGCTTGGCGGCGGCGACGCCTGCCGAGCAGCAAGAGCGAGTGACCGCGTTTGAGACCTACGAGCGTGGTCTCATCGCTCACATCCGCGGGAGCTTGGAGGCCACAATGGCCGCTCCCCAGGCAACCAGACCTAAGCCGGTGTGGCTGAAGGTCCCCGCGTTTGAGGGGAAGGAAGGAGAGAACCTTCACTTCTGGGTCCGTGAGGTGGAGATCGCCATGAAGGCGGGCCTCATCTCGGACGAGCCAGTTCGGGTGGCGTTTGCCCTGTCCAACCTTGGTGGACGTGCCAAGCACTGGGCATACACCAGGGAGACGACATCTCCTGGATGCTTTGCATCCTGGGCTCAGCTGTGTGAGCAGCTTCGAGTCGCGTTCCTACCGGCGAACGACGAGATCCGCCAGCGCTCACGCTTTCTCGCATGTAAGCAAGGTAAACGTGAGCTGCAGGAGTACGCGCAAGAGATGCGCACGTTGGTGGCATCTCTGGCAGGGAATCCTCTGCCTGAAGACATTAAGACAACAGTCTTCATGGACGGCCTGAAGGTCGGTCCTGCTCGCACCCAGCTATTCGGGGTGCAAGCGACAACCATGGAGGAGGCGATTCGAATCGCCCTCCAAGAAGAGTACAGCCACAAGCAGGCTGGTACTCTTCGGGAAGATGAACATCGCCACGATGAGAATGGCGCTCCTCGGTAGGCGGAGCATCGCAGCAATGACGCTGTTGCTCCTGCTGTCACGCATCCCGTTGATACCGGTGCGTACAGCGAGCCCGAGCCCATGGACTTAAGCTCAGCCGAGAGCTTGGTCCGCTGCTATGGATGCGGCGGACATGGACACTACCAGCGTGTGTGTCCCTCGCTAGTCGTCGGGAAGAAGACGACCCGTGGGCCCCAAGTCCGGTGGCGCAGGCCACGGTTAGGTGGACGAAGACTCCCCGTCCACCAGTAGAGGCAGTATGCCCTACTGAAGAGCGCTAAGCCTTCGTGATGGGTGTGCAGGCTGTGCGCACCACGGGACTTAGCCCAGAGAGACGTGGTTCTCTCAAACCGGTGAAGGGCAGTGATGGGCTGCTGGTAGTACACTCGGTGTACGGGGGTACGGTACCCCTTGAACGTTTGATGAGTTCTGGGGCGTTGATATGTCGCCGGAACGTCGCTTGGCATAGCGACATCCGACGGCACTCTATGTCAGAGTGGCGGTCGTGGGCTGGTCCTTGGTGGACTAGCCTTTGGTACGGTGAAGGAAGTGGCAATGGTTATAAACGGACCTGAACGTTTCGGCTCGATGAGCTCGCGCACCGCGGTGTCGCTCGCAGCTCTTGCCATGAGCAACATGGCTGTGCCGAACATAAGCCACAGCCCGGACTTTGGTGTGGCAAGGCTGAGAAGGGCCTACCAGTCCAGGTCTATGACGGAGCATTGGTGAGTCATGTTCCCACCTCCGTCATGACTGGGGCGTCTGATACAGACCGCCAGGACGCAGAAGCGTCGCGGAGTTGTCAACGCGCCGACAGCTCTGCGTACAGCAAGACCATGCTCCGCTACGGCAATGCCACGGGCGTGGGTCTTTGCCCGGCGTGTGGACCTGGTACACCAGCAGCGTCCAACGCCGAAGGTCGTCGCGCCGTACGGGCTTCGACAGTGGTTATGCCTTTAAGCGCTAACCCGGTGGGTAACTCAGGACCACACGGTCGCCCAGACCTTAACTGAAGAGGAAGGCGCTGAATGCGCTTCCTGTGTGGATAACACAGTACCACACGCAGTCGCCCAGACTATAACTGAAGACGAAGGCATGACCACGCTTCCTGTGTGGGTAACACAGTACCACACGCAGTCGCCCAGACTATAACTGAAGAGGAAGGCATTGTCCATGCTTCCTGTGTGAGTAACACAGTGCCACACGAGGTCTCGAGCGCCTCTGATGTCGTCAACGAGACATCACGACGTGGGTAACGAAGTGCCACGTCACGTCAGCCGCCGCGAGTCGGGTCTGAACCTTGTTCAGGCCGACGTCGCTTCAAACGACTTGGAGTCCAGGACCCGGACTCCTCTGACTCGGTCGGTGGACACCAACTCCGTCCGATGTGTGGGCGGGTCTGCCACACCAGCCGATCCCAACACCGAAGGTCGTCGCGCCGTATGCGCTTCGACAGTGGTGGTGCCGAAGGGCATTCACCAGGTGGGTAACATAGGTCCACACTGCGGGTAACAAGTTCCGCAAGCAGCGAAGCTGCTTAAGGAGACCGACATTCGGTGCTCCGAGCGTGGGTAACAAAGTTCCACGCAAGGTCACTCAGACCATAACTGATAAGGAAGTCGCTGTATGCGCTTCCGGTGTGGGTAACAGAGTTCCACACCCAAGGCGAGTAACATAGCGCCGCACACAGAGCCATTGGCTCGAAGCGCGAGGCTGTCTTGGCCTCGCCAGACGTGAGCAACTCGCTCGACGTCAAGTCGCGCAGACTCAAACTGCTGACGCGAAGGCTGAATGCCTTCAGTCGACACGGCCGACGCGGTCGATCATACCGACGCAGTGCACATGGCGGAGAGCCGTTGCGCCTGCCAGTGGCTATTAAAAGCCACGAGAGACTCAGTAGTCTCGAGATTAAGTGGGGGAGAGGCTCGGAAATACCTTTCCTCCCTGGCTTTCCAAAAGGCAAGTAGCCGTCGTGCTGCCAGTGGCTATCACAAGCCACGAGAGACTCAATAGTCTCGAGTGTAAGTGGGGGAGAGGCTCGGAAATACCTTTCCTTCCTGGTCTTGAGGTAAGACCAAGTTCCTTACGGAACCAGGCGTCGATGTACATCGACTGCAGGCTGGAGGCAAACAGCCGGGCGAGCTGTGGTAGCTCTAGCCGAACAAGACATAGTGGCGAAGAAAGCCACTGGCGCAAGGTGCCTCGGAATCGCTGAGCGAATCAGCAGTGCTGGGGTTGCAAGGAACCACACACGAGGCGAAGCGCGGGCCTAGTGCAATCAACGCACTGGTCCCTTGGTCATGAACGACCTGTCGAGTAGGGTGAACGGAACGTCTCACCCGCCGACAAAGCGATTGCGGTACGTGATGTACGCAACGCGCCGGGTATAATGGACCGTGGAGCCATAACCCAAGTGTGGTGCACGAGTGCACACACAACTGACCAGGTGGTGGTCGAGGCGACGCACGCAGTCGTAACTGGTGCCGCGCCGAGCATGACACCGTGGTGATGGCTGCTTGCCTCACCATGGGTTGGTACCCGTGAGTACTCGGTGTCAATGCCAGACACCAATGCCGCAGGGGCATAGTGGTGAGATGTGCCCCACCACGGTCGAGTACCATCAAGGTACATGGTGTCTGTGACAGACACTGGTATAGGTGCAAAAGATATGCACCATACCACGACCCGATGCGCTCTGGACGCTGTGCGTCAACGCACGTACCGTGCATCGGCACTGGCTGCTGTCGAGCGGCCTGCCAGGAGTTCCACGTAATGAACTCGTCGTGCACGACACACATGACGTGCACGGAGCACTTATGGTAGCTGTGGTACGTGTCGTACACAGCGCACCTCGTGTACGGGCCCATGAACCTGTGCACTGTGCTTGTACATGCGTCGTGCATGATGCGAGCACTGGCCATGAATTAGTTCAGGCGACAGCACAGCAGAAGCTGTTGCCGCCAAACATGGCAACCTTGTGGTGGGCGTACCGCATCAAAGGTTAGTACCGTACGGTACATGGTGTCGATGGGAGACACCTACACCACGGTTGTGTACCGTCACGGTACACGGTGTCGATGAAGGACACCTTCGCGCTGTTGGTATGGTGACCAAGACGCGAAGAGAGCGTGGCAGAAGCTCCGCCCGCAAGGATGGATCCTTGCTGGAGCTAAAGGCATGGCCCGAGGTGAGCTGAGAGCTCCCTCTAGTGCTGGGGAAGGTGTTGCCCTTCTCGGTGTCGTCCCTCGCGGGTGACACCATGCTCCGGACGCGTTCACGAGGACTGTCGTGTCCTCTGGTGCGAACTGTGGGCGAATGCCACACGTTCGGATGCTATTGCACCCTGTGCCAAAGCACTGTACGCGCGCTACCGCAGGAGCTAAGGCAGCTCTGAGTGTAGGCTTTGTGGCCAACACAGTTGTGAACATAGAGATGCAAATCCCAGTGAGCTTTGGCAGCGCAAGTCACTGTGGGTGTGACTGAGAGCCGCGCCAGTTTCGTGGCTGCTCAGTGTGAGAATTCACCTTTAGGTGTTTAATTCTCTCACTTCTGATTGGAGAATCAGTTGTGATTAGAATCAGGTGATTCTCAGTTAAGTGCGAGAGGATGTAACGGGGTACAATCCAGTGTGCCCCATGTTACATAAAGAGTGACCCGTCACTCTTGTGGACACCTGGTACACGGTACCAGGTGCTCTCGGAACCAGTCAGTGCATGACTACTTAGCTCCACTATAGGTAACCTCTAGTTTGTATGAGACCTAAGGTTATCTTACTTATAAATACACCAGTCTTAAATCTACTCCTCTAAGTAGCAAACCGTTCACACTGAGTTAAGAACGGCCCTCGAGGCCGAGAACACGTGGATTTACGTTCACTCGGGTAGTTAATACCCATAAGCACTTCCTCTGTGCAAGGTGCTGTCTGACCCCGTCACAGGAAGCCACGTGTATGGTCGGGGTACTACGATAGAGTGGGGCGGGAACTGAGGGAGGCGTGAGTGCGTAGTGTAGCCCGGCGAGACAGCGGGGCGAGTCTAACTGCTGTGTGGAGACCTGCTTTACGGGAGCGCCAGAAGAATGAGTTAAAAAAAAATGATTTTTGAAAACGGAAGGACTGACAGTACCGCGGTTAGGGTAGTGATCGGTATTTAGACTTTCTACGGGCAAAAACTAGCCACTTCCAATAAAATAAAAACACTTTGAGCCAATCGCCTGTCTCCCTCTATTTGCACCACTCACTTTGCATAACCTCGGACAATTTAAGCAGCATGAGGAGCAACGTGACCGCCGAGGAGGTGGCCATGCTGCAGCGGCCGTTCGTGCGCGGTGAGACCGACATCTTTGCGTACCTGACGGCACTCATGAAGCAGCGCACACTCATCTTCGACGGCGGTATGGGCACGATGATCCAGGTGCACAAATTCACTGAGGAGGATTTCCGTTCCGAGCGGTTTAAGGACTCGCCATGCCTCGTCAAGGGCAACAACGACTTGCTGTCCATCACGCAGCCGCATATTATCAAGGAAATCCACAAGCAATACATGCAGATCGGCCGGGCGCAGCTCATTGGCACCAATACGTTCTCAGGCACCACAATCGCCCAGGCCGACTACCAAATGGAACACTTGGTCTATGAGCTTAACTACGAGTCGGCCAAGCTGGCCAGAGAGGCGGCCGATGAGGTTACACAGCTGGACCCTCTCCTTCCGCGCTTCGTGGCCGGGTCGATTGGCCCAACAAACAGAACATTGTCCATTTCTCCTAATGTGGAGGACCCGGGCTTCCGTAACGTGACGTTTGACGAGCTGGTAGATGCGTACTATACTCAGGTTGAAGGCCTTGTGGACGGTGGCAGTGACGTGCTTCTGGTTGAGACCATCTTCGACACCTTGAACGCCAAGGCGGCCGTATTCGCCATCAACAAGTACCAGGAAGCCACCGGCCGCAAGCTGCCACTGTTTATCTCCGGTACAATTGTAGACATGAGTGGCCGCACACTGTCTGGCCAAACGACCGAAGCCTTTTACGTCAGTTTGCGCCACTCAAAGCCCTTCTGTATCGGTTTAAACTGCGCACTGGGCGCCAATCAGATGAAGCCGTTCCTTCAGCGTCTGGCCAATGTGGCCGAGTGCTTTGTGTCGGTCTACGCCAACGCCGGGCTGCCTAACGCTATGGGCGGATACGATGACACTCCGGCCATGATGGCCGAGTACTGCGAAGAGTTCTCCAAGGACCGTTTGGTTAATATGATGGGCGGATGTTGCGGCACAACTCCACAGCACATTCAGGCCATCGCAAAGATGACGACTAAGTACGATCCACGACCCTTACCGGAGTTGAAAGAGCCGTTCATGTGGCTTTCAGGTCTTGAGGACATGGTTGTAACTAAGGAGCGGTTCAGCTTTTTGAACGTCGGCGAACGATGCAACATCTCCGGCTCGATACGCTTCAAACGTCTCATCATGAAGAGCGACTACGGAACGGCCATGGATGTGGCCCGACAGCAAGTAGAGGATGGCGCTATGGTCATCGATGTGAACGTAGATGATGGTATGCTCGACGGTGTGGCGGCCATGGAGAGATTCCTGAAGATTGCGGTAACCGAACCCGATGTGTCCAAGGTTCCGTTCATGATTGATTCGTCCAAGTTCCACATTGTCGAGGCCGGACTTAAGTGCGTCCAGGGCAAGTGTATCGTCAACAGTATCTCGCTCAAGGTCGGCAAGGAGCTTTTCATGGAGCACGCACGTATCGTCAAGAACCATGGAGCCGCAGTGGTGGTCATGGCCTTCGACGAGGAAGGACAGGCTGCCACAGAAGCCGAGAAGGTGCGCATTTGCAAGCGCTCGTATGATATCCTTGTGAACGAGGTGGGCTTCCCGCCCGAGGATATCATCTTTGATCCGAATATTCTGACGGTGGCCACGGGTATGGAGGAGCACAACAACTACGGTGTGGACTTTATCAACGCGTGTCGAATCATCAAGGAGCAGAATCCGTACTGTAAGATCAGCGGCGGTGTGTCCAATCTGTCGTTTGGTTTCCGAGGTGTGAATGTCATCCGAGAGGCCATCCATAGTGTGTTCCTGTACCACGCCGTCAAGGCTGGTATGGACATGGGAATCGTGAACGCTGCCATGCTGGAAGTGTACGATGACATTCCGAAAGATCTACTTAAATTGGTCGAGGATGTGGTTCTGATCGCCATCCGGACGCGACCGAGGCGCTTCTGGATCGCTCTTTGATTGAGAAGGAAAAGGCGGACGCTGCGAAAAAAGGCGGGGCCGTGGCGGCCGCCGGCAACAAGCAGGAATGGCGTAGCAAACCGATCGGTGAGAGACTTACGTATTCCCTGGTCAAGGGAATCTCCGAGTTTATCGACCAGGATGTCGAGGAAATGCGTAAGGTTGCTGACAAACCGCTGGATGTGATCGAAGGCCCCCTTATGGATGGTATGAACGTTGTGGGCGAGCTCTTTGGATCAGGCAAGATGTTCTTGCCGCAAGTGATCAAGTCCGCTCGCGTGATGAAGAAAGCTGTGGCCTATTTGCTTCCGTTCATGGAGGAGGAGAAAAACAAACGTCGTCTGGCCAACGCGGCTAACGGTATCGCCAACGAAGAGGAGGACGAAGACTCTCAGTATGCTGGCAAAGTACTGATTGCCACGGTGAAGGGAGACGTCCACGATATCGGCAAGAACATTGTGGGTGTGGTGCTCGGCTGCAACAACTACAAGATCATCGATCTGGGCGTCATGGTCCCGTGTGAGAATATCTTGGCGGCGGCTAAAGAGTACAATGTCGATGTGATTGGCTTGTCAGGTCTGATTACTCCGTCGCTGGATGAAATGGTCCACGTGGCTCGTGAGATGAGCAAGGCTGGTCTGAATATTCCTCTTATTGTTGGAGGCGCCACTACGTCCAAGATGCACGCGGCCGTCAAGATCGCCCCGCACTATTCGACTCCTGAACACCCAGTGATGCACGTACTGGACGCTTCTCGTAGTGTGGTTGTGGTGGGCAATTTGCTTCGTCAAGACGAGGAACGCGACGAGTTTGTAGAAGAAGTTATGGAGGAATACGAGGAGATGCAAGAGGACTACTACGCGTCTCTAGATGACATCAAACTGGTTGGGTTCCAGGACGCAAAGACCAAGAGCTATCAGATCGACTACACAGCTAGCCCCCCTTTCCAGAAGATTAACCGTGTGGGTCTCCATGTCATCGAGGACTTGCCACTGGAAGAGCTGGTGCCTATTATCGACTGGAACCCTTTCTTCCAGACGTGGGAGCTGCGTGGCCGATACCCAAACCGTGGCTACCCGAAGATCTTCGACGATGAGGCAGTTGGAGCTGAGGCTCGCAAGGTCTTTGATGAAGCACAGAAGTTGCTGCAAGAGATCATGGACAAGAAGTTGCTTCGTGTTCGTGGTGTCTCTGGGATTTTCCCTGCGTACCGTGACGGTGACGATGTGGTCGTGTGCGACCCGAAGAACACGGACCAGGACATCTCCAAGTTCTGTATGCTACGTCAACAGGCGGAGAAGGAGACCAGCGACCCGTACATGTCGTTGGCCGACTTCATTGCACCCAAGGGCGTGGGCCAGGACTATATCGGTGGCTTTGCTGTCGGTGTGTTTGGTGTGGAGGAGATGGCGGCCAAGTTTGAAGCGGATCATGATGATTTCAACAAGATTATGTCCCAGGCTATTGGCGATCGTCTGGCCGAAGCCTTTGCCGAGTATATTCATCGCGAGATGCGCGTGAAGGACTGGGGATATGCGGCCGACGAGGTCTTGGACAAGGAAGATCTCTTGAAGGTGAAATACGACGGTATCCGTCCGGCTCCTGGCTATCCGTCGCAGCCTGATCACACGGAGAAGCGTGCGTTGTGGGACCTGCTAAAGGCCGACGAGCTGATCGATCTGAACCTCACGGACAGCTACATGATGCTGCCTGGATCGGCCGTCAGCGCGCTGTGCTTTGCACACCCAGACTCGCAGTACTTTGCAGTGGGCAAGATCGGCAAGGACCAGGTTGTGGAGTATGCGAAGCGCAAGGGTCAGACACTGGAGGAGACGGAACGCTGGCTGGCGCCGATCCTCGGCTACGACCGCTCGGCGTAAGTTGAGTGGGTTTGCCCCAACGAGGCGGGGCATCTGGACGATAGAAATGCCACTGGAGAGGCGGGCAATCCTGCAACTAGGCCTGCCCACTTCATTGCCATTTCTGCGTGCATTACGCACGGAACTATTCTCTCATTTTGAGCTTTTTGAGCGAATGGTCAAGCTCAGGCGACCGGCCTTGGAGGGCGACACTCAGGGCTAATAAACATTTGTGAAACATGATGTATCTTACCATAATACAGGATACATTATCGTGGTTTTTGCTAAAAACACCTGGTTAGGCTGGTGCTCAAATTAGAGGTTAGGTTTAAAATTTCGCTGATTGGTCAGTTAAGTCGCGGGTAGGTGTGACAAAAAAAACTCGAGAACCAGCAGAATGTGGTTCTCGGGTTTTCTTGGCACAGTCCTCAGTACCGTAGAGCTTTTAACTATGCCACTTGGCTGTGGAGACAGTGGTGACGTAGGGTTCGTCACGGGGGGATTGTTCTTCATGTGTCGATCGCTTTTAAGAGTAGGAGCCATTTAAATGTACATACACTTAAATGTCAAATTTAGGAAACTAATCAGGAAGTAACGTAAACACGTAAGTGCCGGGCAAAAGGCCGCGACAGGACTGCGGTGTCTGGCGAGGCTGCTCTTCTCTGCTGCTCTCTGGTGAGCGGCAGGCGTCAAAACGCAAAGTGTGGAGCAGCCTCCGCCAGAACACCGCTGTACCGCAAAAGTAGATTAGTATACAAATAGCAAATAAGTCAATACTAAACTCTAGATAAATGCACTCTCGTTTGAGTACACCATCTTGGCAGCGCACAGCCAACGATGTCCTTGTGCATACAGTCTCCTTCGCCATTGCACGCATGTGTACTCAGTGTAGCCGGTTGTAGTACAGCCGCAAGCTGCACTGCCAGGCGCATGAGTGTCCTTGGGATGTGTCTTTGCAGACACTGGCAGTGGACGGTGGCTCGTAGATGGGGGCACCGGACACTGGCAGACTGCAATGCACTGGCGCTCGACACGCAGGTAAGTTTTATAGCTCACACTCCCACTTGATCTCGGCGACGCACTTGGAAGTCGACGCGATCACACACGCGCATCCTAGTTGCCGCCATAGTCCTAGTAGTAGCGTAGTCGCAGCTCAAAGACAATAGCAGTCCACTTAGTAACAGCACTCCCACTCGATCGCCCTCGTCTTCATCAATGTCGCTTAGGTACAGCCTCCACATTAACAGCAGTAGTCAACGCAGTAGCAGTAGTCGTAGCTGTAGCCATGTCCTCGGATACGTTGTCGTCGCTCGACACAATAGGTAAGACTTTCATAGCCTTGCGAAAGTGTGTGAACTTCACCACTGCAAGTGCCTTTGTCATTATATCGGCCACCATATCATCAGTTCCGATGTGTTGGGTTGTAAATTGCTTCAACTCCACGTGGCGTCTGATCATGTGGTACTTGTTATCGATATGTTTCGATTTCGAATGTTTGCCAGGTTTCGCAGTTAAGGCAATGGCTCCTTGATTGTCTCCCAGTGGTTGAGGTACTGGATGCTTCCAGTTCCACTTCTTTGCATAGGCCAGCAAGCCACAACAAGTCCTTGGTCGCCTCTGCCATTGCTACGTATTCAGCTTCACAGGTACTGAGCGCGTTGATCTTTTGCTTGCGAGATGGGTAGGAGAGGACGTTGTCGTCCAGCATAGTGATGTATCCACGGATACTCCGTCGATCCACAGGGTCGTTCGCATAATCAGCATCAGACGTATGCCACTAACTTGCACATCAGTCTGTAGCTTCACATTCATCACTAGTCCGTAGTCACATGTAGCCTTCAGGTAACGCAGCACACTCTTGGCTTGTGCGAAATGCATATGATCATAGCTCGCAAGATACTTGCCCAGGTGTCGGATAGCATGAGCTATGTCAGGTCTCGATGCACTAACGAGGTACTGGAGAGCACCCACCAGTTCTCTGTAGGGAAGATACTCCTTCGAAGCAGGCACGTCTGTCTTCAAGGGCGTCGTAGCTTCTGGTGTAGCGCAGCCATTACAGTTCTCCATATGAAAACGCTTCAACACCTCCAGTACGTACTGCTTCTGGCAGTACACTATTTCCCGCGCGGCCGGTCAATCAGGATCTCGACGCCTAAGAGATATTTGACTGTGCCCATCGTCGTGAGCTCGAATGTCTCTTGCAGTGAGGCAGCGATTGTGGCACACAGGTCACGTGAGCCCATCAGCAGTAAATCGTCCACGTAAACAGTCAGTAGCAACTTGACTTCACCATCCTTCCTCAATGCATATAGGCCGTAGTCAGAGTCCGTCCTAGTAAACCCCATCGCAACAAGCTTCGTATGAAGCGTGCGATTCCAAACGTTCGGTGCTTGCTTCAGTCCGTACAGGCTCTTCAACAATCTGCAAATGGACCCAGGTCCATCCACCTGGAAGCCAGGAGGCTGCTCCATGAAGATAGTCTCGTCCAAGTCTCCATACAGAAAAGCCGTCTTCACGTCAAATTGCAACACCTCCCAACCTCTTTGTACAGCGTAGTAGATAGCCGCACGTATGGTTTCGAACCGGATCACAGGTGCATAGGTCTCAGAGTAGTTAATCCCAAGTTGTTGTTTGAATCCATGGATCACTAGTCGCGCCTTGAAACGTTTGATTCGTCCACGCTCATCTCGCTTCACAGCAAAGACCCACCTACACGTTATCACCTTCACTTTCTTGGCATCTTTGCGGGGTACAAGTTTCCAGGTCTTATGACCCTTCAACGATTGAAGTTCCACCAGCATTGCAGCTCTCCACTGCTGCCAGTACTTGCTTGCACGTGCTTGTTTGTACGTCGTCGGAATCTGCACATCCGTAGTCATAGCCTGCACTAGGCCTACCACGTAATCCGACAATCGAACGTTCGCCTTCTGCTTCCTTCTTGGTCGCTTTAGGCAGGGCTCTCTTGATGGAGGTTGAATCTCGAAGCCACTTGTCTCCTTCTCCACCATTGCAGGTTTCTTCTTTATTCTGCGTCTCTTGCGCTTCCTCACTTCCAAACCTTCCTCGGTTTCTTCAGCAGGATCCTGCAACACGGCTGGTGCTGCAACACCAGCAGTCTCCGCACTGTCCTTGCTCACAGGTGCGTCAACGATTGACAAACTCCCACTTGAACTTAACTCAGTTTCTGCAGGCTCGTCAGCAAGTGGTACCGCCTCAAGTGGCTTCTCCGCACTAGAGATGCCGTCACTCCAACCTGGAAGGTACGTTTCCATGTTGGTCTTGATGCGCGCCACAGGTACAGTCTCGAGTAGAGTATGATCACCATCAAAGAATGCGTTCTCTAATAGATGCTTCATGTAGATACCATCGGTCGTAAACTCTTCATGGAACTTCACATTCCCACTACGAGCTGTCACCACTTGAGCTGTCACCAGGTCAATGAACTTGTAGCCTAGGGTCGATTCGCTATAACCCAGTAATAAACACAATCTTGCCCTTGCTTCCAGCTTCTCTTTCGCTTGTCTTGACTCAGGGGGAACACGCACGTGTGCCAGACAGCCCCAAGTACGCAAATCATCCAGCATGGGCTCCGATTCGTACAGTTTCTGGTGCGGGGACACCAATCCTAAGGGCTTGGTGGGCAACCAGTTCAACGTCGTCACCACATGCAGGAAGGCTTCTCCCCACAAGGAGTTGGGCATGTGTGTAGCCATCAGCATCGCTCTGATCCTTGGTAGAACCACGCCGTTAGCACGCTCCACAATGCCGTTCCCTTTGAGGAGAATAGGCGTTCGTAAACTGCTGCTCAATCCCTTATTCGACACAGTAGTCACTTAGTTCCTTGCTTGCAAATTCACCTCCTTGGTCATAGTGTAGTCGTCGCACCTTCTTCTCAGAAAAGCGAGTTCGCAGCCTGTTCAGCAGGACCTTGATGTGGAACGTTGCTTCACTCTTCTTCTTGAGTAGGAATGGCCACTTGTACCTTGTAGACTCATCGATGATAAAGAGAAACATTGTAGCTCCATCCACAGACTGTTCGTTTACAGAGCAAATGTCCATCATGAGAGTCTCCAGAGGTTCGGACTTCCGCGATGGAATCCGGGTATAAGACATTCTTTTCGCCTTACTGGCAGCACAAGCAGCGCACTCGTAGGATATCAGACCTTTTGCATTCATCTTAGCTCCAACATCGAGTTTGTTTGCCAACACTTTCACCGTCTCCATGCTCATATGACCAAATCGTTGATGAAGCAGCTCCATGGCTTTCTTGCTGTCCATGTCCTCTTTTAGAGCCGCCATCACCATCACTCCAGTCACTCTTTCTGCACGTAGTCGGTAGATACTGTCACGCATCATGAACTTGAGTGATGTGCTTGGCTTGGAGATCCAAGCAGTCTGTTGGTCCTCTGAGCATGTCAACTTGAAGTTGCCCTTCGTTTGTAGGTAGCCCAAACTAATGATGCTCACCTTCGCGTTCGGTGTGTACACCACGTCGTCCAGGAGACGGTCCTCGAGCTGGCCAGTTGCCTTGGTTCTGGTTCACAGCGTTGACTTGACGAGAGTTGGGTGGTCTGTTCTCACGACGGTCTTCGAATCGACGTGGAGACATGTTCCGCCCTTGGAAATTGTCACGTCGAGGTGAAGGTCCTCGTCCTCTCGAAGGATTGTCACGCCACTGCTGCTGCGGAGACGACGGTCCATAGCGACTCAGTCGGTCATCGCGTTGAGGCGGCGGCCCATAGCGACTCGGTCTCTCGTTACGCCACTGCTGCTGACGCGGTGGAGATCGATAACGCCCTGGATTCCCTCTTGGTTCACGTCCTCGCATTGACTGAGAACGGCCTCTTCCTCTTGGTGGAGTTCGTTCTTGATTGAAGAATCGGGGTGGTGAACGACTTCGTCCTCGTCCTTGAATAGGAGGGTCAAAGTGTCCAACATCTTGACTCCAGAGTCCTCTCTCGTACGCACTCTCCAACTTAGGTCTGTAATCATTGCGCATCCCTGGTTCTTGGCGTCTGTTAAACCCGACATCAGGACCTCGACAGCTATCCCCCGGCACAGCCAAACCCCCTTGTGGTTCAGCTTGATTGCGCCATGGCTCAAGTGTAGGCCCTTTCGAGTTACTCGACAGTCCTTGCCCCAAGTAGTAGATGACTGATTCCCACGTAGGTACCAATCCAGCTGTAGACTGATTGCCCTCCCACTGAGTCTGCGCAGTACTCG